TGTAGTTTTATAGTAAAGTTTGAAGTCTGGTAATGTGATACCACCTGCTTTGTTTTTTTTGTGGCAGGATTGCGCTGAGTTAAACATGCTGTCTCTGGTGCTAAGTGGTTTCTTTCACCCCTTTCTGGCTTTGTGGCCTTGGGAAAGTTACTTAACCTCTGCATGTCTCGGTTTCCTCATCCGGAAAATAGGGATAACGGTGGTACTTTCCTTAAAGGATCAGCCTGAGGATTGAAGCAAGTACATTTATGCCTGGTGATTAGGGCAGGACCTGGCATATGGTGAGGATTGCCTAAATGTTTCTTATTTCTTTTTAGATAATCATGTTATCACTAAGTCAGTTTTTCACAACCCCAAGAGTGTGGTGCAGATGACAGGTATCATTGGTCAATCAAACCTTTTTTAACTAGTGACGTTGTAGGATTTTATTGGAGATGTAAATCCTAAGCAAAAAGGGAGGCAGGGTCTCCCTGTTGATTTACGAGTAATGGTCATAATAGCCAATGTTGCCTAGTGTACACTGTGTGCATAATACTAATCTAAGCATAATGTTTATTATCTTCTTTAGCTTCTCACAACATGTCTTTGAGTATTACAATTATTATTTCTATTTTAAAGTTGTAGAACTGAAATCTAGAAGTCGTGAATTAATTTGGAAAGTCAAAATGTCTGACTCCAGAACTGAGGCCCCTAGAGTGACCTCCATGACCATACCCTCCTCCTTTCTTTTGCATTTTTGGCTTATGCAGAGTGATTTTTGCTGCAGAGGAGGTAATTAGCTGCCTCAGAGGTCTTTTCTAAAATGATGATGATATCCATTTTATAGCAACAGGCAACAGAATGCTTAATCACCAGGACACTGCAATAGTCAACACTATGGAGTGTGGGTCTGGAAGCAGTGCCAATTCCACATTTCAGGCTCAGCTGCTCACCCTCCTTGGCAATGGGTTGCAGCCCCCTACACCTCAGGACCGAGACAGGCTGGGGTGCAGGGCAGAGGAAGTGGCAGAAGGCCTGGGCGTGTGGAGAGATGGGTGTTCTGGCAGCTATCCCTGCTTAAAAAAAAAAAAATTGGGGGTGTGGAGAGTGGAAAGTTCTGTTTGAAAAAGCATGAAATAATTTCTTTGGTGGTTAATCTGATGACCTTAAAACCTCCTCTTCTTTGATGGTTTTTTTAGGATTATCCAGAGAGACAGAATAGATAGATGGATAGATAGATGATAGATATGAGAGAGGATTTATTTGGGGAATTGGCTCACATGGTTATGGAGGCTGAGAAGTCCCATGAAAGGCAGGAGACCCTGGGATGTGGCAGCATAACTCAGTCAAAGTACAAGAGTCTCAGAACCAGGGAAGCCAATGGTGCAATTCCCTGTCAGAGGCCAAAGGCCTGATAGTCCAGGGGCCACTGGTATAAGTCTTAGAATCTCTAGACCAGAAAGATTCTGGTGGAACTCTGATGTCCACAGGCAGGAGGAGAATCACAATTCTAGGAGAGCTAAAGAGAGAGAGAAAAAACCATTTTCTTTCCTTTTTTGGATCTATCCAGGCCCACGTTGAGGGCAGATCTGCTGCACCCAGTCCACCCACTCACAATCTCCCCTGAAAGCACCCTCAGAGACACACCCGGAAGTAACCCTTTACCAGTTCTCCAGTTATTTCTTAATCCAGTCAAGTTGACGCCTAAAATTAACCATCACAAGTCCACCCCTTCTCAACTTGGCACTCAGATACATCTCCTTAAACCATACTTAACCTCCAAATAAATATAATAACCCAGAAATGGTTCCACCTAACATAATCCAACTATCTTGTGTATAATGGAAAATGAACTAATCTCTTCACCCAAAGAAGAGGCGAAGTCCTTGGATGATGCTTACTCTCCTCCTGATAGTCCATAATTTAATACTATGATGTAAAGTTGATAATACTTAAATATAATCATTATGACAATACATCTTATGTAAACACGATAAAAGAATAGGAGAGAAATGAAAATAAAGATGAACTTGCTTAATATATGCGTATACACACGTGAACAAAATAAGGAAGTGATACTCATGACAACGACGGTGCTGTTTCTGTATCATCTGTCCACATGGTCGTAGCTAGTATTTATAACCACCTTCTTCTACTCCCCATTTTGTATCCCCTTCACCTTCAGCAAACACCTCAGCTAGTTGTGATTCTTTCCCTGGCAGGCTGATCCATTCCTGCTAGACAATTTGCAGTCCTTCCTGGATTGGGTTGTTATAATTTTTTCATTGATCCTATTTGCAGGAAATGGTGATACCAAGACGCCCTAAGGAAACTCCTGCACTCCAAACACACTCTTCGTTAGCTCCATCTAGGAGTAATAGTCCAATTTCCCCTGGGTGAACTAGATCTATCACTCAAACTAATACCATATCTCCCTTTTTAGTCTGTCGACTCAAAGAGACCAGGTGGCATCTTAACTTCCATTTCGATAGAATCATTGTTGCATCTCCTGGTGGAAGTATTCATCCTTCTAGAATTAAGACCTTTGGGCCAGGACGAGTGCAGTGGCTCATGTCTGTAATTCCAGCACTTTGAGAGGCCAAGGTGAGAAGATTGCTTGAACCCAAGAGTTCGAGACCAGCCTGGGCAACACATTGAGATCTTGTCTCTACCAAAAAAAAAAAAAAAAAAAAAAAATCAAAAAAACTAGCCAGGCATGGTGGCATGCACCTATAGCCCCAGCTACTTGGGAGGCTGAGGCGGAAGAATTGCCTTAGTCCAGAAGGTCGAGGCTGCAGTGTACTATGATCATGCTGCTGCACACAAGCTTGGGCGACAGAGTGAGACTCCAACTCAAAAAAGATTTTAAAAAAGACATTAAGGGCTAGCGGAGCATAAAATCAAGAAGCAAAAATTTTGTTAGTGGGTCCCTAGAGGGGATAGTGAGTGCAGGTAACTCAAAAGGCACCAATGAGTCTGCTGCAAGTCAGCATCAAAACATGCCTTATGGCTCGCTGGATTTGGACACTGCCTAGCTGGGTTCATCAGATCAGAAGACAATTTTCAGCTGGGCTCGGTGGCTCAGCCTGTAATCCTGCACCTTGGGAGGCTGAGGTAGGTGAATTGCCTGAGCCTGCAGGTTCGAGACCCGCCTGGGCAACTTGGCGAGACCTCATCTCTACAATAAATCAAAAATCAGCCGTGCGTGGTAGCGCATGCCTGTAATTCCAGCTACTTGGAAGTCTGAGGCGGAAGGATTGCCGGAGCCCAGCAGGTCGAGGCTGCGGTGGCCGGGAGTGGCCACTGCACTCCAGTCTGGGGGAGAGAGTGAGACTCCAACTCAAAAAAAAAAAAAAAAGAATACAATTTCCTAGTATGTGGTATAAGTACCTGGGTCACCTTATTGAACACCGAGTATGAATAATTTATATTACATAGAAATTGATCGTGTCTATTAGGATTCACTTTGACTCATAGATTTCTGTCTTCTTTCTTTCTTGACAGGTTCCTGGGCAGATCGAACCCCATTACATGAAGCAGCAAGTCAAGGTCGTCTTCTAGCTCTGAGAACATTATTATCACAGGTAATATGCTACATATGGCTTAAAATATGCCCACCTTCCCTGGGCATAGCACATTGTCAAAATAAGTCAATCCCAAAATAATATTTTTATTTTTCATATTTTACTACTGCTCTTTTTACTTTAATGCATGTCAGGCAGAGCAATAGTTTCTGATTTATCTTTGAAACTTCTTTGTAAACATTTTGGTCTCATCGTATGTCTTCGTATTTTAGAATTCTCACACAGTATATTCATTACTAGACAGTTAAGCTAGCAGACATTGGATTTATGTATTATTTATTAAGCTTTCCAAATATACTTAACTCTGCACAATGTGTGCAGCTAATTACAGACTTAGTTTAGTAATACAATATCCAAAAAAGGGATAATCAGACAAGATGCCAAAACAATCCTTTTTATGGGGATCTGTAATACTTTGCCTACAAAAGCAATGGGACAGTTATTTCTGCACCTGCCTGCTCATGAGACTCACCAGAGGAAAAATGAAAAGCACAAATCCTTGTTGAGATGGAAAGCACTCTGGCTCAGGCCTGTGCATGTTTTTTAAAGCTTCTGATGTGGCTTCCCTGATCTGGAAGTCAGTGCTCTAGTGTTTCCCGATATCCAGGAGAAAGGCATGTTCTCAGATGGTTGTAAAAAAGAAAAGGCTGTGCTATCCCTTCTAAATAGCACTGTCTGGATCTCAGGAGACTTGAATCCCGGGATGGCATTTGAGGTAAACTTCAATCTTTCTGAGTCTTCTTTTTCTCATCCAGAAAATGAAGATGTGTAGGACAAGACACTCCCCTAGGGCCTTCCTGTCCTGTGATAACTGTGCATCTATTTTGTTGTGCTCATCACTTGATGGGGGGGGGGGGGGAAATCCTGGTCAAAAGATCAGTAATTCCTAAAAGGGAATTCCTTAGAAAGACTCCTGCAACTCTTCAGTGAAGAGTCAGGCTTACGATATTTCTCAGTGTGTCTCCTATCACTGACAGTTCCGCCAATAAGAGCAAGAATCTCCCCCCAAAGCCTGATGTGAAAGGGAATCTTGACCTTCTTGATGCTTCTGTCATCTGCTCCTTCTAGCGGGTGGCAGTGTGGAATTAGCTCTTTACATCTGATTGCTGGCTAGCCATCTTGAAATCTTTGCAAGGATAATGAAAGGATCTTAAACACTGCATGTGTTAGAGACAACAATTTGGAGTGAACACCTATTGTCTTACCTTTATTGTAAAATCCTTCGTGTCTATTTTGGTGTTACAGATTATGGCAATCTGTGGTGTCCCAAGGATTTGGCCTTGAATTTCTTCCCATTATAGTGCTTCGAATGATACTCATTAGATAATGAAATGCCAAAGGTATCAAGAAGGGAAGGAATTTCTCATTCTAATAATGTCTAATTATTTTAGTCTGATATTATGAGCTTCATTAGAATATAACTTTAAAATGTTTACTTTGATTAATAATAAAATAAAATCTAACATTTTCTATATGCTAGGCATTGTAATAATAACTGCTTTACCTGTATCTTTTCATTTAATTCTCATGATAACCCTCAAAATGTAGAGGTTAAGGCATTTGTCCAAATTGAAATGGTGACTGCATGGTGGCACCAGGCTTCAATCCCAAATCTAACTGACTTTAGCAGTCAGAGTTCTTAACCACTGGCATAAACTTCATCATAACTATTTAGCAACAAAAATTCCCCAAATCATGTACACTAATACAGAATATTTTTTCCCCCAGTCTGAGCTGATCGATAGTTTTATAGTCTCAATGAGAGCAAGTGGTCCAGACTATAAATAGCCTTTAGTGGCCGGGTGCAGTGCTTCATGCCTGTCATCCCTGTACTTTGGGAGGCAGAGGCGAGAGGATTGCCTAAGCCCAGGGGTTCAAGACCAGCCTGGACACCTTATGAAACCTCATCTCTACAATAAATCAAGAAACATTAGCCAGACATAGCAGCATGCACCTGTAGTTCCAGCTATCTGGAAGGCTGAGGTGGAAGGATTGCCTGAGCCCAGCAGGTTGAGGCTGCGGTGGCCACGAGGGAAACTGATATGCCTGAGATTCTTTGATCTTTAAAATATATCACTCTTGGCCAGGTGTGGTGGCCCAAGCCTGTAATCCCAGCACTTTGAGAGGTGGGTAGATTGCTTGAGCCTAGGACTTCATGACTAGCCTGGACAACATATTGAAACCACGTCTCTACAAAAAAAAAAAAAAAAATTACAAAATAATTTTTAAAAATTAAAAAATATGAACTGAGCATGGTGGCACACATGCAGTCCCAGCTACTTGAGAGGCTGGGGTGAGAGGATCACCTGAGTCCAGGAGGTCGAGTCTGTGGTGAGCTGTGATCACGCCACTGCATTCTAGCCTGGGGGACAGAGTGAGACCATGACTCAAATAAATAAATAAATAAATAAAATATCACTCTTTAATGACCTCTATGGAGATGATTTCATGTAACATTTTGCTGACCTTTAAACATTCTTTATGTCACGTTTAGGGTTACAATGTAAATGCAGTAACCATAGACCATGTCACCCCACTGCACGAGGCCTGTCTTGGAGATCACGTGGCATGCGCCAGGATGCTTCTAGAAGCAGGAGCTAACGTAAGTACCTCTAAAAACCAATAACAATTTCACACCTCCTGACTGAGAGAATCAGAGTTCTCATTTTGCTTTTCTTTTCTTCTTTCTCACTACTTTTCAAAAATAGCAGAATAAAAATAAAGTCCTCGAATTGCCTCAGCCTTTCATTGCACTCTAAAAAGGAGATTTCCAATCATGGCGCACACGGGTAGCGTGCTGCATGATAATATAGAATACTCTTGAGGTTATTTCCTGCTGTCATGACTCTAAATAGCAGTAGATGAACATCTTTGTGCCTATAACATTTGCCCATCTTTTGGATGGTTTTCTTTAGATAAAAATCTCAGAAATAGAATGACCAACTTTACCAGCGTAAGCCAGCAATGTGGTTTCATCACGACATTTATCACCATCACATTTTTTTCTTCATGGTTTTCCTTATTGAAAGGTACTTAATTACTGAATTAGTTTTTGCTTATAATTGAGTGTATATTTTTTCATGATTTTCACTAATTATATGCCCATTTCCATGAGCTGTATTGATTACATTCTATTTCTATTTATCTCTTGAAGATTTAAAGCTTTCCTTATTGATGTATAAGAGCTAAGTAGACTATGTCATATTTACTGCACACATTTTCTCAAGTATTCCTATTAACAGATGGCATACCTTTGGAAAATGCACAACTATGTTGGTTCATCACGTATTCCTTATTAACCTTACTCTTAAATATCTTGGTTTGGTTTAGGTAAATGCAGTCACAATAGATGGTGTCACTCCGTTATTCAATGCCTGCTCCCAAGGCAGTGCCAGCTGCACCGAGCTTCTTCTGGAATATGGGGCCAAAGCCCAACTGGAGTCATGTCTTCCATCTCCCACCCATGAGGCCGCCAGTAAAGGTAACTGAGTTCTGGGATTAAGTGACAGGGGGAGAAAGTTCTTCCAGCAACATGCAGTGCTCCATTTGTCTTTCAACAAATGGCGCTTCAGGGGAAAGCATGGGATAGGGTATGCATGGGGAGATGGCAGCTGGGTAAAAGTAAACTCACCTGTGCTCTGTGTTGGCAGGTCATCATGAATGTCTGGACATCCTCATATCCTGGGGCATAGATGTTGACCAAGACATTCCTCATTTGGGAACGCCTCTCTATGTAGCTTGTATGTCACAGCAATTCCATTGCATCTGGAAGCTTCTTTATGCTGGTATTTTCCTTTCAAACATCTTCCGTCCTGTCCATACACACAAGAAATTATTTATTTCTCTAAATAAGCTTCTTTAAAAGTTAGATCTTGCTGCTAAGAAATGTTCTTGTTGTAAGCATTTTCACACATAAGTATAGAACCAGTAAAAAAAGAACCCCATTCTTGGTAAGTCCACTTCATAGCTCACAAATGAACACGTAGTCTCTGTATTTTGCACATGCAGCATTGGTAGACATTTGGGTATGTAATGGAGTCTGAAAACCCTACTTATAAAAGGTCATAGAATTATGATCCTCAAAGTTGAAAATAATGTTTCCAAGTATGGATATATCTGTAAAAACATGCATCACAAGAAATATCAGAGACAGTAACTGAGCAACCTGATCTTCTACCAATCACAAAAACTTATGTCATTTCTTAGACTGTGTACTTGCTGTCATGCTTTAAAAAGACTTTGTACCTTTTTCCACTTACCCATTTAAAAAGACTTTTTACCTTTTTCCACTTACCCAAAACAAACCAGTTCTTCAAGGTCAGCTTTAGCACCCTTAGGAACATTCCTGACCCATTCAGACCACAATGGTCTCTCCTACCATAGGACTGGGAACTCCTTTCTTCATCATCTCTTTCCTTTAGCATGGTTCTTCCCCCTTCATGTGATAGGTGCTTGGAATATATGTACAATTAGTGAATAGGTTTCTATGCTTTTTATTGTTTTTGGCAGTCATTTGACCGTGATATACACTGACATATAATTTTAGCAACCCCCATAGGTGCTACTCACATTATCTTAGCTAAGTTAGACACTTCTTACAAGGAGGGTCTCAATCTATTATTTCATACCAATGATACCTAGTAAGAATCTCAAACGTGAGTTCTGTTAATAGCCATTGACAGATTGTTATTTTCTGACTATGGTCTCTGGTAAATTTGATATGACCAGTAAAGTTTATGCTTTATAGCCTTTCTTTAGTTTGCTAGAAATATTTTTTCCTTCAATCAAACATTTTATCTTGGGTTTTTAAAAATATGGGAAAAGTACTGTTAGTAACTGTAGATTGATTGCTATTTTCCAAGAGTTTTCTTCCATAAAATTGGCATAACCAACAAAGCTTATGCTTTCTCTATAAACATCTTGCCATGGCATATAATTTTTGCACTAAACATTTTATATTTGTTCAAAAATATTGAAAATAGTTACATGTATTAAATTTGAAAGTACCAGGAGGGTCATAAAAGGACTCTTAAAATGTGCTGCTTCTTTTTTATTTTTTTAGCCAGAGTCCCACTCTGTTGCCACTGCTCACGGCCACTGCAGCATTGACCTGCTGGGCTCAGGTGATCCTCCAACCTCAGCCTTCCAAGTAGCTGGAATTACAGACATGTGCCACCAAGCTCGGCTCATTTTTCTTGATTTATTGTAGCGATGAGGTCTCACCAAGTTGCCCAGGCTGGTCTCGAGCTTGTGGTCTCAGGCAATCCTCTCACCCAGGCCTCCCAAAATGCTGGGAGTAGAGATGAGAATCAGCACGCCTGGGCTGCTGCTGCTGCTTTTTTTTTTTTTTTAGTTGGAGTCTCACTCTGTCACCCAGACTGGAGTGCAGTGGCTGCTCCCAGCCACCGCAGCCTCGACCTGCTGTGCTCCGGCGATCCTTCCGCCTCAGCCTTCCAAGTAGCTGGAACTACAGGCGTGCGCTACCACGCCCGGCTAATTTCTGATTTATTGTAGCGATGAGGTCTCGCCAAGTTGCCCAGGCGGGTCTTGAACCCTCAGGCTCAGGCAATCCACTCACCTCGACCTCCCAAGGCGCGGGATTACAGGCTGAGCCACCGAGCCCAGCAGGCTGCTGCTTCTTAAAGACATCATTCGTTTTACAGATAGTATCAGACAACAGAATTGAAAAGAACTTATGCCTTTTTATTGGTGGACGTTTCTTGGCGGTGTAACCATTTTGGTACTGGAAAATGGGATTGTTATTTTTAACAATACTAAACAGCATTTATTTTTGGCACATGCATGTACCAAGCCTTGCATTAAGATAAAATAACTATGCAAAAGGTAATTTTACATATGGGGGTTTTTTTAATGTAAGAATTTTTAAAAGAATTTCCCTTCACGGAGCATTGGCGTGCCTTTCTACTTAAGCATCTCTGTGCCTTTATATAGGTATTGACTTAAACTACATGAGTGAAAAGTGATAGGAAAATCTACATGTGTTTTACCTAAATAGCTCACATATTCATGAGTTTTCCAAGAAAACCAAAGTGCTCCACTGCCTTAAAATAAATTTTAAAAACACAAGCAATAAGCTCTTGAATAATCCTAAGGACTATTGACTACAGTGAAAAATAGATATAATCAGGCAATGTTTATAATATTAGTTAATACAGTTATATTAGTAGTTAATATGATCACTTGTGGAATCATTTAAAAATTTTAAATTTTTTAAAATTATAAGATCTTTCAAGCATACAGAAGAGTATAGGCAAACAATATAACAAATGTGTGCACCCCCATTCTGATATGCTCACTTTTAAGATTTTATACATGTATATATGAGACAGGGGTGCCAAAAAAATGTATACACATTGTAAGAGATGTCTGCCATGATCAGAAGTGTCTGGACACCGATGGTAACCACTTTGACCACTTCTTGTCATTGCAGAAGTCACACATGTATTCATCTTATTGAGCATTACAATTTTAATACAGCTTTTTTCTTCCTTGGGCACCCTCTGTATAGATATAAGTATGTATATATTATATATGAGTATATATTAGCATAAATATATAACTATAAAGAAATAACTCCTTCCAGATAGAGCCAGGGTCACCTTTATACTCTTTCTCAAATGCCTTCCTTTTCCTTCTTGCACTGATGGAACAGATTCAGCTAACACATGTTATGTCTGTTTATCATCCCTTCCTGTTTCCATGTAGGTGCTGATGTGCAGAAAGGCAAATATTGGGATACTCCATTACATGCTGCTGCCCAGCAACCCAGTACAGAAATTGTAAACTTACTGCTAGAATTCGGAGCAGATATCAATGCCAAAAACACAGAGCTTCTGCGACCTGTGGATGTAGCTACGTCGAGCAGTGTGGTTGAGCGAATACTGCTTCAGCGTGAAGGTAGGAAGAATACACATGGAGGCTTGTAAGCACAAAAATAGGTCTGCCTACAGTGGATGAAATTGAAAGATTTTTTTTGTTGGCCTGTGAAGAAATAATGGCATACCATTTGGAATGTTTTTGTAAAAGTAGATTTTTATTTATTTATTTATTTTGAGTCTGGGTCTCACTCTGTCTCCCAGGTTGGAGTCCAGCGGCATGATCACAGCTCACTGCAGCCACGACTTCCTAGGGTCAGGCAATCCTCCCGTCTCAGCCTCCCGAGTAGCTGGGATTGTAGGTGCACACGACCACCCCTGTCTAATTTTTTTTATATATATGTATATCTATTTTTTGTAAAGTTGAAGTCTCTCGGTGTTGCCCAAGTTGGTCTTGAACTCCTGGGCTCAAGCAATCCTCCCGTCTTTGCCTCCCAACTTGGTTACAGGCATGAGTCACTGTGCCCAGCCTGAAGTAGATCATTTTTTAATGTAGGCTCTATCTATAAAAACAATTATCATGATGCTTTTAATTGTCTTTTAAAATCTTGTCTAAACTATCATATTATTACTTTGAAATTTTTCTAATTCTTTTTTACGCAAAGCTCAGGTTCAGAGTATATTATGTTTTCAAGTAATAACCAAAGGGATTGTTGTATTAAAGAAGTTATTACTCAGTTAGTCCTTTGCAAGGGTTAATACTGTATTTATTGTCTTCAGCTTTAACTGAACTTGAATTCACTAGAAAACATAGTAAAATTTTGTGTGTTTTTTGTAATTCAGACTAGATTTGGGCCTATCATGATATTTAGAAATAAGATCATCAACATTCTTATTTCTAAATATCATGATAGACCCAAATCTAGTCTGAATTATATATAAAATCCAGTCTTAAATATATCCAATTTGTTTTGACAATGCAGTCTTGATATGATATCTGCTCATTTATATTTGGAAACATGTTCCATTTTACAAGGGCATGTACTTTCTATGCCATGTTGTATAACTACAGTCAGAGGATATTTTCACATGTAAAACTTTTTTTTCTAAAACAGAATTTCTTAAGCCCAGTCTAGGAACTAATATTTCTTTTCCCTTAAATATGAGACCTAATTTGAGGAGAAATATGTAATTTTTAAGTTTCCCCTTTAGTACATTCCACTTCTCAGGGCTTTTGATGTATATCCCTTTCAAAAAAGCAGAATTTGTTTCGGAGGCTTTAAATGCAACAATAATTTCATAAGCCTGAAGATTATAATGATTTAAAGAACATATATGGAATACACCTCCATTATACAATCTCATAAATAGAAACAATATAAATGCTTATGTAAATTTCCCTAGAGCAGCAGTCAAGCCATCCTAGTTTACTACAAAGCATCACAGGTTTTTATGTTTTTATTTTTCATGGATCTTACAACATGCGAAATTCTTTTCTATTTTAATTAAATACTTTCACGTCTTCTTGTAGCTACCCCAAGCTCTCTTTGCCAGCTTTGCCGACTCTGTATCCGAAACTGCATAGGAAGACCAAGATTGCACCTTATCTCCCAGCTCCCGCTGCCAACATTACTGCAGAATTTCTTACAGTATCGATAAAGCAGTAAAATAATTCTAAATCCCTTGAAAAATCAAACATTTCTACTTTACTTGCCTAATGAATATTTAATATTAAAATATGCTAAAGATAGGGTAAAAGTGGCATGCGATCACCCAGGGAAGCAGTGAAATATCAATTTTCATTTTAAGCATATTAGTACTATTGTGTTATGCATTTTATTGTCTTTGGAGCACAGTATATTTGTAATATCTATATGTTTTTAGCTATTCCAGTGCATCCTATTGTTGATTTAGGGGAAAAAAGTAAGAAAGTCTCCATTTTATATTTCTTTTTAAATTGGAAAAAATAAAACTCTTACTAAAATTCTTCATGTTATATTTTGAAAGGCCTATATTCTTCAAATAATGGGTTAACTTTTTAATATTGGCTACTGTAATTGGTTATCTTTGTTTTAATACTGACATAGAATATGAGTATGGTTTATAAAAGAGCAACAGATATACTTTTTGAAATCAAGATGACACTCATTCAGGAAATTCACTAGGTTGAATGTGCACTTGTCATTACAGTGACTGATTCACAAAGATAAATCTCTCTCCTCTTTGCAAAGAACTCACAAGCCATTTCTCCACAGTAAGTGGATACAGAAACTAATGGGACGAAAGGTCAATGCTGCCCTCTTATCCTGAGACGTTTAGAACATTCTATGCCTGTGGAGGCTATTTTAAGAACTACTCCTTCTCATGGGTAACCTCTGAAGGTCTGTCATCAGTGCTTTTATATATATTCCTCCAGCTTTCTTCCATTTCAAAACCGTCAATTGCTAGAGATATCTGGATTGAAGAAAAAGAACTCCATCTTTAATTGAGAAAAAGGCACTGGGTCACGTTCCAGGGGTCTTCAGGTCAGTTCAAGCCTATAAAAAAATAGAAGATGAAAAAACTGCTTCAACTGTGGAATTTTTAAACAGAGGGTGCCACTTAGCACATTTAGAAACCTAAAATTTTCAGCCTGTATGTATAGTCCTTAATAGCAGTGTTTCTAATTCTTTTTTATTCAGAACAAAGGTTCAGAGTATACTGTATTTGCAAGTAATAACAAAACAGAATTTTACATGAGAAGATATTACTAAACTTGTCCTCGGAAAGGGTTAATAACGTGTTTACTCTCTAATTATACCAGAGTGCACTAGAAAACATAGTGAGATTTTGTGTCTTTTTTGTAATTCAGACTAGATTTGGGTTTACAATAATATTTAGAAATAAGATAATGAACATTCTTACAACTCTGTGTAAAGTAAAACTTTTTGATGCATCATACAGATTTATTAAATGTTGACAAAGCAAATATTTTGACCACTGTTTTTAACAATCCAGGGTCTATTTTCTTCTCACTTTCTGGCTAACATTCAGAAACGATGGGAAAATAAACTGTCATTATATGTAACCCTTAAGTCACCAAGTTTGCATTTTGGAAAAAAAAAAAATCAGGTGTGATTAAAAACATTTGCTTAAAATTTCAAAAACAGAAATAAAGCCGTGGCTTGGGTCTTTTAAAAGTCTGTCTCACAGAAGATCTCAGTCTAAGACATTTGTAATAAATAATATGCACTAAAATAGATTTTTCTTATAGAATAAACTCATTAAATATAATTAGATTTTAAAGTTTCTTTTTGGGGGGAGAAACGAGCTTCTACTAGTATTTCCCTGAGCTAGAGGTGAAGTCTTACATTGTAAGAGTAATGCCTTACTCTCTTCATCCGTCTTGTACCAATAACAGAAGTAAATGTCAAATATTAAAATAAACACTAAATTTTCAGTGTATCTGTACCTTGTATCTTTGCTTGAGTATGATTGTCTTATCAAAGAAGTGTTCTAATTTAAATGGAGTGTATGTTTGTTATTATCTTAAAGTGTGATTATCATCCCTTGGAATAAAACACTTTGTTCTCTTCTAGTTCATATTTTATTTCGTTTTATAATGAAAGGCAGTGGAGAATATGATTGAATTGCACTCATTTTTTTCTTTTACCACCAATTTCCAAACCACTGAATTATGGGCATTATGAGCAGAGAAGTGCAGAATAGAACCACATACCTCAAAGGTCTTCTAATTCAAAACATATATACCCACGTGCACATACATACATACATGCAATAAAGTCCAAGGGCAAAATTTCACAATGGCAAAGAACATCTGACACAGGATTAAAGAGATATAGTAAAATACTTACTTTAAGAAAGTGCTGTTGAAACATTTATTTGGGGGCAAAAGTATTTAACTCCATTGTTTTTATAACCACAGGATATGTTTGATGTTCTTGAGAAACTAAATAGAAACAGTATGATGGAAGATCTGAATCTATCCACTGGTGTTTTACACGGTCCATAATGGCACTGAACTGAACTGACTGTGGTTATCTATCTTCTCACTTTTTTACTCAAGTTTCTCTATCATCTTACTCTTATTATTATTGATTATTTAGCTTTTTTTTTTTGAAAACAGGATTTATTGAGAGGACAGAAAAATCTCCCACAGTAGGAAGAGACCCGAAGGGGTTGCCCAATTTAGCTCATTTTAAGACTTGTTTTCTCTCTCTTAAAAACCTAAGTAAACATTCTTGACTTCTAAGATTGATGGAAGAAAATGTAATCTGAAAATTCTGGTGAGTTATTAGCTTCTTATCTACTCTACGATCTACAAGTCACTTTAGCTCTGTAGGTGTCTGTTTTTAAATGAGGGGTCTCTTTTTGTTTTGAGTTCTTCAGTCGAATTCATTGAGTCTGTTGATAAGTAACTTGAGATTCAAATACATTTTTAAATGATTTTTTTGGTTTATGAAAAGCTTATATTGTGGGTACAAATTTTATACATCACATAGTAAGGTGTGGAAAAAGTTAATTATTCTAAATAGAACTTAATTGTATTTCAAGCTTCCCTTTCACCAAGGGAAATCAGGCCATTTCTGGGTAAACACGATTAATTGATTAATTTCTCGGTCTCTTCAGGCAAACTTAAGAGGCGCTCAGTTCATTCAAGCCTCTCTTCTCCCACTCCATTTCTTCCTGGGATGGCATATCAAATCCGGAAGACTTTTGGGAAACCCACTTTTTGGTGGGAGTGTGCGTCTGCCAGGGTCTGTCCTCTGGGAGACCCCAGTGTGTCTGGAGAGTGTTATGCAGCTCATGTGGTGCAGTGATAAATGTCAGATCACAAAGGGTCTTTACACTGATTTAAGGAAGCTCCTAACATGAAAGTAAAAATAATAGACTTGATTCTCCCAGAATTCATCTTGCCTCCTTGCCTTTGTTCCCTCTGCCTGGAACGCATCTACTCCCTCCTCTATCTTATAACTGCTATATCTGCTGGTGTTTTCACTCCATTGCTACCAACAGTTAGCTAAAACTCACTCTTCCAAGAAACCTTCCCCTGCCCCCAGTCTGGACTGTATACCCAGATCAAAAGCTCTCTCTGGGACCCTGTGCAGACCTCTGATTGCACTCATAGCACTTACAGCATACATTTTTGTTTGCTTGTCTGTCATCTTCGTAGACTGAGTTCTCTGGGGGTAGAACTGTATCATGTTCACAACTTCTTCCTCATCAAAGATTCATCTCCATCTCCTTCTCCTTAAAGGTCAACATATTCCATCTTCATTAGCTGGAAACACAAAATTTCTTTTGGATGTGGAGAGATCGCATCCTTTCTCCCAGAGTGGGAACAAGAGAAGGGAGATGTTAAACTTAATTCAACTGCTTCCTTATCATTCTCCCTGTTGCAAAGATTTAAGTGAAGTACATCACTGATAAAGAGAGGGACTCTATTATTTGGAATGGAGCCATCTGGAGAGGTAGCCCTCCCTGATTCCAGGTTCTTTGGGACTGTTACCACTGAGTTATCCCTTATCCCCCACTCCACTGAGTGATGTTAGATGACAATCCCTCTACAACAAGATAAATCTGGGACTTAGGGCCCTTAAATTCTACAATCAGATTAAAATGCCTTTCTCAAAGACACTATTAAAAAAAATTAATTCACCCCAAATTATTCATCTTTACTGAACAATATATGTCTTAAAAATCCATCACATCTACAACCATTGTTAAGTCCAGCTCATGCAACATGGATCACGTGCCATTCCTTCTGTAGATGACTGGGTGTTTCCCTCAAGAACAGGTGATAGGCCCACAGGTGACGTGTAGTGTGACACAGGATTGATGGCCAAGCTGGGACAAGGAGATTCTTTGATGCAAAATAAAATGGAAAAATAAATGTGCCATAAGGCAGTTATCAGAGGAATAAGAGACATAAAAATGATATGAAATGGAAATGCCATAAGAATTAGATTATGAGGGCAGGTGAGAGAGGGAAAGAAACCTAGAGCCGCAAATTGATACTGATGGTATAAAACACGGAACCCTTGGCTCTAAGAGCTGACCTCTCATGGTCTTCCCTACTTCTCCTGCCTGCTAGCCCCTCTATCCAAGACCAGTTGCCCCAACAGCAATAAATGGGAAAATCCAAGAACCTCCAGAGTCGGCAGGACGCCAGGATAGCTGAGCCCTAGACATTAACTTTTGTGTTGTTTTGTTTTGTTTTTTTGAGTTGGAGTCTCACTCCGTCACCCAGGCTGGAGTGCGATGGCATGCTCACGACCACCAGTCACCCCAGCTACGAACTGCTGGGTTCCAGCGATCCTTCCACTTCAGCCTTCCAAGTAGCCAGAACTACAGGCATGCACTACCATGCCCAGTTAATTTTTTTATTTTTATTGTAGAGATGTAGTCTCGCCAAGTTGCCCAGGCTGTTCTTGAACCTGTGGGTTCAGGCAATCCTCTCACTTTGACCCCACAAAGTGCTAGAATTACAAGCTTGAGTCACTGTACCTGGCCAACATGAACTTTTTAGCACTTTAGATGATACCCTATTCCCCCAAGTATGAAAAATCATTTTAATGAGTCTGTATGCCTCGAAGCAATAGAAAATAACTAAAATACACACATAAACGAAATTAAAAGATAAGATACAAACTTTCACATCCCTTCACAAAAGAAGAAAATGCTGCTTAGGACACAAGTGCTGAGCTGGTCTTAAGTCAGCAAAAGGTTATCTTGACCTCTATCCCTCAACCCTCGTCCTCTTCAGACTAGATTCCAGACAACAATGGTAAAGGATTGCGTGGTGAGTAATTGATTGTTTTTGGAAGTCCAAAATATCCATAATAAAAGTGGGAGAAAACGGAGGTAAAAATATGATATGATCTACTATGGAAGTCTTTATATGGGGAAGA